GGAGGCTCTATGGAAGCCGGAAACGAGTCCATTTCAGGCCTTCCTGAACTTCCGCGAGGCCCATTTTTCACCCTCCCCAAGCCTCCCCAAGCCTCCGCATGTACCCTGCACTTACCTCCATCCAAAACGGGCTGTGTGGGAACTCTGGGAGGGGTGGGAGGGGCCAGCCAGGAGTGGGATTTGGGGGTTCTCCAAACTGCACAGAATCTTAGCTAGGGGTACTCCCGAACCCCTGCAAACCCCAGCAACTCACCCCTGTCTCTATGTCTTATGTGCCCCCGAAGCTACCTCAACTACATCAACAACAATCAATGCTCCAATCACACACTTCAATTTTAAATAGTAAGATCTATATACCAGCAGAATAGTCAACCTATAGAAGTTGTAAATTCTCCATCTTTGAAATTTTTAAGAGGCCAGACCACCATTTCTCAAGCTTTATGTAACTGCCTTTCCTGAATATGGTAGAAAATTGAATTAAACAATCCTTCCAAATCCGCAGTGTTATGTTTTTACACAACACAATAGCAGCAGTTATTAGCAATGGCAATTATTTATTAGTTTTCCCATCTTCTTGATTCTTGTTCTCTTTTCTGCCTCTTTCCTCTGTTCAGCTTATTCCCCTGCCAAACTTCTGTTTGCTTTTCCTGTTCATTCATTCATTCAGTAAACTGTGATTTCTTAATGAAGTTACCTGATCAGAAAATGAAATAAGATTAATCTCAGCAACATTCATTCTTGACAAATATATACTGCCTATTGGTATTTGCTTCATTACTTTCAAGATTCTATAGATCAGTTTCTTGATCGTGTAGAATGTTCCCTGGTATTGATGTCAGATGGAATACTGTGCAATGGGATGTCCCTATTGCAAAAATGTTGTTTTGTTTCAAAGCTAAACACATAGTGATGCTTAAAAGTGCTTTCCCACTTTGTGAACCCTTTTGAATTATTATTTCTGCATAAATATGATTTAAAGAATGATCTGTTCTCTACCCCAGGGGTCCCCAACCACCAGGCTGCAGACCGGTACCGGTCCGTGGATCATTTGGTACCGGGCCGCAAAGAAAATAAAAATAAAATAAAAATGGCGGCTTTCTTCGCCTTCGGTGAATGCTGCTGGGATCAGGGATCAAGGACACAAATGAAAGAAAGGGAGGGAGGAAGCAACCAAAGCCTGTCCTGCTCTCCGGCTCAGCGGCTTCGGTTTCCTCCTGCCTCGTTTCTCTCTCAGTCGCTCTCTCGCTCCTCCACCAGCCCAGAAAGAAACTGCTTCAAAGAAGCCGGCAGGGTAGCTTTTCCTGTCGGCGCAGCTCCTCCAAAGCGCCCGTTCACCCCCACCCCGCCACCCGCGGTTCAATCCAGTGCTCCGTTCTGCCTGCCTGCCTTCGTTTCTGGTTGTTTCGGAGTAGCTTTGGCTGAGAATAATAACTATTCGCCTCTTTTACTCAGCCAAAGCTGCTCCGAAACAACCAGAAACGAAGGCAGGCAGGCAGAACGGAGCACTG